TGGATGTCCCGATGGTCGTCCCGATGGTTGTCCGGATGGCTGTCACGCTGTCCCGATGGTTGTCGTCCCGATGCGGGGTTGTTTGATTGATAGCGCGATTGGTAGATAGATCGTGAGGCCGATCGATATACATATATACATCATGTACTCACATATCGACAAATTGATTGACATTGGTATTGGTACATGCACACATCATGGTGCGTATATGCGCAGACAGCTAGCGATATCGATACATCGATCGTCAAATGGGCAGTTGGCTAGTAATATCGAAGAATGGGTAGATGGTTCGTGAAATCGGACATATAATGATATCAATCGATGTATAAGCCGATCGAGGCTGTTCGCTTTATGGGGCGATTGTCTCGATGGCTGTTCCGTCGTTCGTTCCAACTCCCCCATCCTCCTTGTCGTCTTTGGACGGTCATATAGGGACTATAAATAGAGATGGAAACGGTCGTAACAATGTTGGCACCTCCAACAGCAACAATAATAACACCAACAGTCGTACTATTAGAAGTGACCGTCCTTGTAGTCGTAATCGTAGTTGTGGTGGAGCTACCAGTACTGAGAAGAGCAGGATGGATGATGGAGCGGATGGTGATGATGATGGGATACCAACAATTCTTATGATGACGACGATAGGGGGTACTCACGCGAGGAGCAAAGCGAAGAGAACCTACATCAGGAGGAGGAGGATGAGGAGGAGGAGGAGGAGGAGGAACACGACACGGGACGGACTGGCACATGTTAGCCCGCGTGGACCCCAAACAGTGTGTTTCTAGCAGTATATAATAAATGTTGTCCAATTCGTATTGTGCCATCTACTTGGTGCAATCTGTGTCGTGCAATCTGTGTTGTGCAATCTGTTGTGTGCAGTCTCTGCTGTGCAGCCGGTGTTGTGCATTCTGCTGTAAATAATCAGTGTTGTGCGATCAATGTGGTGCAATTTCTTGTGTCCAATCTGCAGTGTTCGGTAATTCATGCGCTGCAGCGCATGTGTTGCAATCTATGCGGGGCACTCTATGTGGTGTAATATATGTGATGCAATTTATGCTGTACAACATGTTGTGGACAATGTATGCTGTAGAATGTGTGGTGTGCAATCTGGTGTGTGCATTCTATGTAGTGCACTTGATTTTAACAAACGAGTTAACACATCCTATGCTCTGGCAAACATCCCACCCACCCACCCGCAACTTGGTTTGCAAAACCCATGCGGTGACGATTGCGATGCATAGTTGGCGTTTGCTGGTGCATCTCTGCGGCCGCGCCAACCCAAGCACGCGCGCGCAACGGCCAGCTAGTTTGGCGCGACGGACGCGGCCGCGGTGGCGCTGACCGCTGGGCACGTCCAGGCGGGCATTTCACTGAGAGTCGGCGCCTTGGGCGGGCGCGGTATCATGGCACCGTCGATCACCGAAAACACGATGATGATACTAGCGATGCTGGTGGCGATGTTGACAAAGACGAAGGCGCGGCCAGTGCGGGCGCCGATGCTGATCACGCCGACGACGATGACGGAGTCCTCGCGTCGGTGATGAAGGTTTTGGAACGAATTCGACATGCGCGCGCGGCCGACGCGCGAAAATGGCCCGCATGGTATTCTTTGACACGGATCGTGCCCCCCCAGCACGCACGCAAGAGCGTGCGAATATCGGCAAGCGGCGCAAACGGCGCGTTTGGCAGAATTCCATGCACATGTTGATAACTCAAAATGGTTTTCTCAAGATTTCGCAATAGCGCGAGCGGACGCTTTGCTGCGAAACCCTGTGTTTTTGGATATGTTTTGGACACTCGGTTTTGAAATCGCTACGACACCGGAAGTTTTTGGCGCATATCGGCATGCGCGCGCGACGACGCGCACGCGTGCACATTGTCTCGTTTTTTGCAGACGATTCTCGCGACGGCACGCGCGCAAGGGCGTTCGAACGATTTCGACATGTGCGCGCGACGCCCGTTTGGTAGCATTTTCCTAAAATGTTGAACAACCGATGGTTTCGTGAGAATACGACAGAGCGCGCACATTCTTTTTGATTGAAAATCCGTGTTGCGAAACCATATGCTTTTACATGCTTGTTGGACACTCGATTTTAACATTCTTACGACACCGAAGGTTTTTGACGGATTTCGGCATGCGTGCGCGACGACGCGCGCGTGCGCACTTCGTCCCTTTCTTTGTAAAAAAGGGTTTCTTGAACGAGTGTGCGCGCATAGTTTTTGTGCAGAGGATGGCGGGGGGAGGGGGGCGATACTGGCGCCCCCCTGGGATTGTGAAAACTCATACTTCGGATGGACGATGGGGCAGAATCGTACGTACATTGCAATACGAAAAAAGGGGGGGTGATCTTCCCGGGGGGGGGTCGAGTCGATTCCTTTTTGTATTTTTTTGGGGGGGGAAATCTGTGTTGGGCAATCGATGGAGTTCAAGTTCGGTTGTGCAATCTATGTGGTGCAGTACATGTAGTGCAGTCTACGTGATGTTATCAGTGCTATGCAAAATATGAAATGCAATTTGTGGTGCAATCTATCAGATGCAATCAATTTATGTTCGCGCTGGGTTGTCAACTCCACTGCTCGCGCAATCGTCCCATCCACCCACCCGCATCTTTGTTTGCAGAACCCATTCGGCGGCGATTGCGGTGACTGCTTGGCGCTGGCTGGCGCCTCGCTGCGGCCGCGCTAGCGCGCGCAGGCTCGCGCTCAGAGCGGCCAGGTAGTCTAGCACGACCGGCGCTGCTGCGGTGGCACTGACCGCTGGGGACTTCTTGGCGCGTCTTGCAGGCCGCGCCTGACGCGTGTGCAGTTTAATGCGAGTCGGTGGCTCGGACGGGCGCGGTGCCATGGTGGCGAAGACGATGGCAGGGCCAATGACGGCGCCGATGTTGAGCACGCCGGTTACGATGATGGTGTCCACGTGTCGGTACGAACCGCATTTCGACATGCGCGGGCGGCCGACGCGCGCGAGTAATCCACATGGTTTTATTTGACAGGGGTCGTGCCCCCCAGCATGCGCGCAGAGGCGTCCGCGTGATTCGACATGTGCGCGCGAGACGCGCGTTCAGTCGACTTCGATGAACATTTTGAAAGGCCAATGGTTTTGTTAACAATTCGACAAAGCGCAGATTTTTTCGGGGAAAGTCCATGTTTCAGCACAACGTTTTTTTTTTTTTTTTTTTGTTGATGTGGAAATCCTTGCGAAGCCGAGGGTTGTTGAACGATTTCGGCATGCGCACGACGACGCGCGCGTGTGCACTTCGTCCTTTTTTGCAAGAAAACCTGGGCAACGGATGATTTTTATAACCGGGTGTGCGTGCATAGTGTTTTCTGAAAAAAGGAGGGGGGATTCGATACCAACTGGACTGGGATCGTATGATTTCTTATTCAACATGAACGATGGGGCATAATCGTATGAATATTGCATATCCCCAGGGGGTGCCGTTAAATCGCCCTCGGGGTGGTGGTGGAATCTGTTCTCAGGAGAACATATGTGATGCAACGTATGATGCGCAATCCGTGTGCTGCAGTCAATGCGGTGCGTTCCGCTGTGTGATATCTGTGAAACATTAAATGTGATGCAGTCTATGTGGTGCAATCTATGTTGTGCAACACGTGTTGTGCAATATATGTGGTGCAATCTATGTCGTGCGCGCTATAGTAGTATAAGCTGTGTTGTACAACATGTGTGAGGCAATCTATGTAATGCAACTTATGTGGTGCAATGTCTAGGTGGTGCAATCTATGCTGTGCAATCTATGTTGTGCAATCTAGGTGATGCGCTTTATCTGGTGCACTCTATGTGGTGCAATATGTTGTACGCAATGCATGCGAACTATCTGCGTATTGCAATATAAGCGGTGCAATCAATGTTGTCCAATCTGTTGTGTGCAGTACATGTGGTGCATTCTATGTTGTGCAATCTGTGGTGTGCAGTTCAGTGCACTCTGTGCTGTGCAATTCATGTGGTGCACTCTATGTGGTGCAATCCATGGGGTACACAAAGTTGTGCCATTTATGGGTAGCAACGAATATGATACAATATCCGTGGCGCAATCTATGTTGTGCAACCTATGCTGTGCAATCAAACGGTGGCGACGAGCGGCGACGGCGGCGACGGGGCGGCGACGGTGACAACATGGCCACCAGACCGACAGACAGGTTACGGGCGGCGACGAGGCGTCGTTGGGGCGTTGACGGCGGCAGCATAGCCGCCAGACCGACAGACAGGTTACGGGCGGCGACGGGGCGGCGGCGGGGCGGCGACGGCGGCAACATAGCACTCAGACCGATAGATAGGCCCAATTCCTTAAAAGAGAGATGCACCCCCCGAAATGCAAACACTGTTTGGGGAATCCTATTAGCAAGAACGAGGGAAACATGAAGAGGAAGCGGAGGAAGGGATAACAAGGCGGAAAAAATATATGAGGAAATGGGGAGAAGGAGGAGGATAATAATGGGATATGGAAGAATCTGAGGAGGGAGAAAGATCGTGGACCCGTGCTTCTCGTGCCCATACCCCCGACGATCCGATTTGTTCTAGTCGCTGGCCCAGGCTCCCGACCCGGATCGTCTCCTTATCGCCACTTCATCCCGGATCGTCTCCTGATGGCCCTGTCGGGCCTGGAAACGGCCTCCAGAGGCCAGGGTCGAAGGGAGAAACGCCCCAGGACCCGTACCCTCCCCCTAGAGACACCAAAATGGGGCGAAAAGCGCGGGGATTCAAATGACCAATCTGCCAGAGGCCTGTGCCTTCCTTCCTCGAAAAACAATTCCCAAAAACCCCCGACCTGTCCTGGGGTGCGTCTTGGCCAAACATTCGAAAATAGTGCAGCTGTGGCAACGAGACCCCCCCAGCAAGGTCGAACAATTCCCTTGAATGTCAATTCTCGGAGGAAGAGGAGGAGGAGGAAAAGGAGGAACAGGAGGAGGCGGCGGCGCAGGAGGAGGAGGAGGAGGAGGAGGAGGAGGAGGAGGAGGCAAAATGATGGGGTGTGACTGGATTACCCCCGTCCTCCAATGGCCGCGGCCGCGCTGTCGGCGTCGGCATCCCGCCCCGCCCTCTCTGGGGCGACGGCCCACCGCTCCTGGGGAGGAGGGTGTCTCTCCTCCTCTTATCCTCTCCTCGGCCCACTCCTGCTTCAGCTTCTCCTCCTCCTCCTCCTCCTCCGCCTCCTCCTCCTCCTCCTCCCTCCTTCCCTCCCTCCCTCCCTCCCTCCCTTCCTTCTCTCGTTTTCCTCCCTCCCTCCTCCCTTCGCCCTCCGCCCTCCTCCCTCCGCCCGCCCTCCTCTCTTTCTGCGACTTCTCCTGCGCCTCTCCCCCTTGGGCTGAGGATCGACGCAAGAGAAGGCCACGAGTGACAGGACGGCGAGAGTGAGCACCAGGGCGCGGGCAGTGCCAGAACGGTCGGGCGGTCGAGGGCGAGACGCCCCCCCCCCCTCCCGAAGAACGCGGACCGGGCAGGCCCCAACGGAACGGGAACGGGCGAAGCGGCACTTGGCACCACGACCGCGCCTGGGATGGCGGGGGCCGCGGCGCGAGGCTCAGAGGGCAGGCCCCAGCCCCGCGGCCCTCGAGTCTCGGGGGCGGGGCCTCGGAGGCCGGCGAGGGTCTTGAAGGAAGGCGGGGGCCCCGGCGCGTCCGCAAGGCATGCGCACCAGGCCTGTTCATCCCGATGCGGCCTCAGGTCGCGGGCCGAGGAGGGCATGCTGGAAGGGGGGGGGGGGGCAGGGGGGACAGGGACTGACGGGGGGTTCAAGGAAGACGAGGCGGGGGATCAGGAGGAGGAGGAGGAGGAGGAGGGAGGAGGAGGAGGAGGAGGCAGGAGGAGGAGGAGGAGGAGGTGGAGGAGAGGAGGAGGAGCAGGAGGAGGAGGCGGAGGTGGAGGAGGAGGAGGAGGAGGAGGAGGAGGAGGAGGAGGAGGAGGGAGGAAGGAGGAGGAGGAGATGGAGGAGGAGGAGGAGGAGGAGGGGAAGTGGGAGAGGAGGAGGAGGAGAGGAGAGGAGGAGTGAGAGGAGGAGGAGGATAGGAATGGAATGGGAAAGGATGAGGGAAGGAAGTTGCACGGCACTAAAGCCGCCGCGCCCCGCGGCCGGGCGCCCGCGCGCGGGCGCGGCCGGCCGCGGGGCGCTCACGGCGCGGGTGGCGCACGGCGCCGGCGGGCCCCCCGCGAGCGGGCAGCATGGGGATGGCTGGCCAGCTCCCCCCCCACGTTTTGTCGGCCGGAAACGGCCCAGCCGGAAACACCCGGCAGCCGACAGAACGGGGGGGGGCCGTCCAACCAAACCCACACCACCCACCCCAGGGACCAGCCACGACACGACAGACGACGACAGCGACGGCGACGACACGACGGGGAAAGACGGACCCCCCAGCCACGACTCCCACGGGGGACACCTGGCTGGGTAGCCAGGCTCCCGTGGGAGGCTGCGTGGCCGTGGGCCCCCCCGGGAAGGAGACCCCGCTTTGGGGGCCGTCCCGGGCGCGGGGGCTTTTCGCCCCTCGGGCCCGGCGCTCCCCGCCTGCGCCAGGGGGACCCTGGGGTCCCGACCCCTCCCGTACGAGGGGAGAGGCCCCCTCGGGGCAAGAGGAGGAGGAGGAGGAGGAGAGGAGGAGGAGGAGGGGAGGAGGAGGAGGAGGAGGGGGAGGGGGAGGGGGAGGGGGAGGGGGGGGGGAGGGGGAGGGGGAGTGGGGGAGGGAAGCTAGGTGCGCTCGCGTCAGATCTGACGTCCTACCCCTCCCTCCCATCCCTTACCATGGCGCTGATTTTCTCTATCCGCGGACGCGTGTCGTAGCGGACCTGTGGCTCCGCGCGCGCGTGCGTAGTGGGTGGTGGTGCGCGTGCGTGCGTGCGTGCGTGCGTGTGTGCGTGTTGTGGTGGTGGTGGTGGTGGTGG